CCTGAAGTCAGACTAGTAGTGCTGCCCTGGTATACTGTGCCTTGTGATGAACTGCTACTACCTAGGCTAGGGTGTGTCAACAAATATGTTTACAGTATATAGATTAGCTAGGTCATATTTTTTTATAGCCTAGCTAAAGTTCTTAGCAAGTGCAGCCCTAGTTTTGTATCCCTCGAAATTTTAACTTAGAAACACTTTCTCCGCTACTCTAAGTCAGTGAGCAAGAATGTCAGCCAGCAGAGCTCCTGTGCTGCCATGGCACCAGCATAAATCTCAGCCTCTCTGCTGGACTGGTCAGCAGACGAGGAGCAGGTGGACCTCCACGAGATGGTGCCTGCACCAAGGCTAAAGCAATAGCCCTAGGAGGACCTAAGCGTCGTCCGCCCACGAAGCGTCGTCGTGCCCTGTAAGGACCACTGGCCTGCATCCGCCCTGCACTAGCCCCATGCCCGATGTCCTTGCTAGATACCGCAAAACCCTCATAACAGTCGACTTGTGCTGAGGTCGGTGTTTGCTTGACGCCACAAAGTAAGCCACGATAATGTATTAAGAGGGTATGCGAGATCTGGACGAGTACAAGTCATCAGTTACATGTGGAAGCCCACAAGCTCTGCGTACGGACCACTGGGTTCAACCCTCTCGTTAGGGACTGGAGCCGAGAGCTTGTTGTCTACTGGCAGATGCGTAGGCTGTGCGGAGGAGAACTGAAGGCCGAACCTCTGAAGGACTTGGCGCACCTGGTGTGACTGTGTGAGAGTGATGGTGCACGCTGCTTTGTCCCTAGAGATCTGCAGGCCAAGCTAGAAGCGCAGCTCTCTTAGGTCAGTGCAGGTGTGTCTCCTCAGCAGCTCGGCCTTCACTAAGGCCTGTGCGTCTCTGTCTGCAGTAGCAAAGACCAGGTCATCTACATAGACTAGGATATAGAACAGAGTCTGGCTTGAGCGAACGAAGAGTGAAGGGCCAGCAGAGGACGGGAAGAGTTGAAGGTCTCCTAACATAGCACATAGCGTGTCGTTCAACTCACGGGGCGCTTGACACAGAAGCAGTGCCCGAAGAGTTGTCATCTTTGGGGTTTGGGCAAAGGTCTAAAAGAAGTCAACACCCTCGCATTGACTGAAGCCTCTAGCAACGTAGCGTGCCTTGAATACTGGCGGCTCTCCGGGAGGGCGCTTCACCTTGAAGAGCCACCGGCCATCGACTACGTTCACCGCAGGTGGGGGAACAGCATCGACGTAGGTGCCGGTGGACCTCGAAGATGCCATCTCCACGTCCATGGCAGCTATCCACTGAGAAGCCAAGGGTACCGAGTTCGCCTCAGCGTAAGTGCAAGGGGTCGGGATGTCAAGGGCGTCTGGGTCACCCTCAGGGACTAGCAGTATGGAGCAGAGATGAGGAGCGGCCCCGGACAGGAAAGCTAGCTTGTACTGCCTGTCCTCTAAGACGTCACTGCTAAGAGCACGAACCCTTCTAGCCTATAACTGCTACATATACAATTTTGTATAAGTTTGTAGGTTCGTCTTTATACTATGGCAGGGTAGTCTGGCTGGTAGGCTAGCACGGACATCATCATTAGATCAGATAGCCTATTGTCTTTCAAGCTCCCACGCTGCCACCTCTGGATAAGGTTTTGGTGGGAGAACCGGCGCTTGCACTCCACCACTCAACCCCACCATATTGGGGTTGTGGACCTCCCCGTCCGAGGTCAAGGCTGGTGTAAACTTGCAATCGACCGTGTTCAGCCGTGCGAGCATGACGTGAAGTGGCAGATCTCCTTGGCCTCCTTCCTCTTGTCAATTCCTAAAAGGACAAGCACAATAGAGGAATTCAACTAAGGGGGTAAATGGGGACAGGTAATATTCAAAACAGAAATACCAAGCACACAAAAATTCCAGGACGAGAAGACGAGACGCATAACGAGCACGTGGCAGAATCTTGTCACTGTCCTTGACATGATATAGCGACACGAGCAGACCAAACCCCTGGAGGCACTGAGCATGCCTGGCGGAGCATTCCCGATTCAGTGGACACGTATCAAGGGAGAAGAGACGATATTTCGGAAGCTGCTCTAGGTTACCAAGATGAAGGTCCATGTTTTTCACGATCCCCTCTATCATTGCCGTGTAGTTGTCAATGCATGCCTCATGCATGCCCCCTCCCCCCCCCCCCACCGAGTTAGCCATCAATCCCGTCATAATGGAGACCTACACTGAAGCGAATGGGCCGGCCATCTGAGATGACGCCATCAACAGTGACTTCGAGAGTATCGCTCGGGTCGTGACGGGTGATGAACTTGACGAGGCGCTGCTTTGGGGTCCCACCGAAGTCATCTCCACAGTTGACGTAGTAGTGGCTCTCGAGCAGGTCAGCTGTTTGCGCAATCTGGATGTTGACTGTTCTGTAGTCTAGCTGCAGGGGTTTGCACACGGGAGGGTGGGGGAGAAGACAGAGAAGGACTGGCGACAGAGTGTGACTGGCTGCTGTTGCCATGGCGCTGCTTCTGCTGCTGCTGCTGCTGCTGCTGCTGCTGCTGCTGCTGCTGCTGCTGCTGCTGCTGCTGCTGCTGCTGCTGCTGCTGCTGCTGCTGCTGCTGCTGCTGCTGCTGCTGCTGCTGCTACGAAGCCCTTGTTGATATTGCAACATGGAGCGGCTGTTTGGTCCTCTTAAGGGTGCGCTGCAGCTCCCAGTGGTTACCTGCAGCCAGCCATGCACCACTCGCTACCACCACCACTCCACTCATGTGCTCACTCCCACCGCTGCCGCACACTGCGCAGTGACTCGCCTCCTGCAATCTGGAGCTTGGCCGAGTACTCCGCCTGCACTGCATGCTCATACTTGCCCAGATGCGGCGGGCCCCCCCCCCACCATGAGGGGATCCGCCAGCAGGCTCTTCTGCACCCCGGGGATGAACAGCCCCTTCTTGGTGCTCATAAACGCCTCAAGGTCCCCCACGTGCGTGCTCAAGAGCCGGCCCATGTGTGCGTATACCCACGCAGCATGGTCTGCCATGGGGTTGGCGGGGTGGTGGGGGTGGAAGGAGATGTATGGCGCGCCGTCCAGCACAGCGTCGGACATGGCGAGCCACCAAAAGGGGTGCTCGCCTGACACGTGCACGTGCAAGCCACACATGATGTGCAGTATGGTGTGGATGTGGTTGCCCGTTACCCTCGCCCTGCAAACTGCCCGAACCTCCTCATCCATGCCTGCCACTTGCCCGAACCAGTTCTCCAGGGCTGGGTGGAACCTGGTGCGGTCGCCAGTGGGCATGCTGCAGAGAGCGGAGAAGGCGAAATCCGTGGGCGGCAGGCGGCACTTCTGGCGCACGAATTCCGGCACGAGAATCTGGCCATCGTCTGTCCTCTGAAGCCCGCCGTAGAAGATGTACCCGAGCAGCAGCAGGAACACCTTGAGAATGTTGTGCTCTCTGATTTCAAGTGCCTGATCGGGGGGCATGAGAACGTTATGCAGAGTGACATACCATAGCATGTCAACGCGTGGCAGCTGCAGCAGCAGCATCACGTCCAGCACCTTGTTCTGGGGGAAGCACAGTGTGTTCACATAGGTCACGCGCGCGCCACGATCTGACGTGTGCAGGTGGATGGCACTGGGGGTGAAGCGGATGGCTGTGGGGTTGAGCAGCTGAAAATTGATGATCGCGCGGGGGACGGCGAGGCTGGTGGCGCGCAGCACGCCCCCCGACTCCGTGTACTCCGTCTCGCCTATCAGCCGCTCGTCGCCACGGCATATGGGCATGGCGTCCTTGTGCCTGTTGACAGAGCAATGACAGGAGGGCGAGAAGACCAAGGAGGAGAAATTGAGTGGATGCTAGTGCAGCGTCAGAACGATGCTGAAGTGACTTACGCTGCTAAATACTGGAAAGCCGAATCTTGGAAGGAGACGCAACAAAATGATAAAGAAATCCGAATTAAGTACCCACCCGCTCTTCTAGCACTGGGATCTTGGCCTAGTCTCAAGTGCACCACACCACTCACTGCGCCGTTGACGCACGCGAGCACAGCACTCCTACGCACGAAATTCACAGCTGCAGCACCAACTCTCTCGCGCTACAAGCATTTGCGCAATCCGAGCTTTAAGTGCATTTAAGAAAACAAGTGTCACGCACCCATAGTGCGACTGAGCAGGCGGTGGAGCAGCAGCTTGGTCTGGCACAGCGTTGCCGTGCACCAAGTGCCTCGAGCCCCACCTCGTGAGGAACCCCGCCGGTATCACGTGGAAGAGCCCTCTCCCTCACCTCCTCAACCCGAATGCGCCCCGAATTGCTTCCCATCAGCGGCCGCTGGGAGACTCATGCCTCGGAGCCGCTCGGAATGCCGCAGCTGCGCTGGCGAGGAGCTGCTGCCCGCTCGTGAGAAAGGGGCGCGCTTGGGGAGATACCGCCCGCATACAGGCGGGGCATCTCCGCTTGGCAGGCGAAGGGCTAACTGCTCCCGCGCAGACGGCTTCGCAAAGGTGTGCCGCTGCTCCGCGCGAGCTAGTCGGCGCCATGCTGTCCTGGATCCCCCCGATAGGGAAAGTGCGCATGCGATGCGAGGAACGGCAGCGCTGGGTGCTGCTAGCGTGCATGTGCGAGCAGAGTTCTGCTAGCTTCACCATGGTGGTCAGCCGCTGATGAGGAGGTCAACTCCAGTAAGCACAGCGGTGCTGCTGGGTTTTGCACGTCCTGTACCTGTTTTATAACATTCGATCGACTGTGCTATGTAGTCTGTCTAGTTTCAAGCATAGATTTACCCAATGTTGGAATGAAATCACTTTCCGAGGGCTGTGGAAATTGCATTAGGGTGTCACAAGAGTTCACTTCGTTGGAGTTAGCTGAGGTGCTTTGCACTCTCGAGGTTTCATTCAGACATCCAAAATGGTTGGGTAGGGTATCCAAACGGACAACTAACTCTTGTGGCACGCCCTTAGAAGTCACTCGTCCTTTAAAAAACGGAACCAAAAGGAGCAAGCCATCAGCAGGATGCTAATGAAGGTGACGATATGATACAATGATGAAGCCATTATTCCGCAAAGTACCATATTGTACAGTCAATACTCTTTTCGTTAAGCATCATTGAGAAAGTATGATGGAGACGTTTTTAAACGCGACGCTTGACCATACAGTGAAGGCATTAGAGATGGATGCACGGTTTACCCATGGCTTATTCCAATACGCATTTGTGATGCCTGAATGCACCGACGACATTGGAATATAAGCTCCAAACGATGTTCTCTCTTGTGAAAGAACCCTCACCTGGTCGTACAGACCAAATGCAGTCGAGAATAGAGTGTCCCGCTCAGACAGCGAGCATGCGGAGCTGGGTTTCCACTGCAACGAGCTCCATCCTTTGCTCCTCACAACGCCCGAGAGATTCTTTTGGCTGTCGAGAATCTCTCTTAAGCAGTCGTTTGTGTAAGTGTAGTTGTTCGGGAGCTGGTTACCAATCATGGCGGCTACATAGTCGAACGGAGTGTGGAAGAGGAAGACAGGGGTGGAGGCGTTGTGGAGTGTGTACTGTGGGAAGAAGCACTTCCACTGATGTGATGGCCTGGCGGCTGCACAGGAGGGGGGGGGGAGAGCGGGGGGGGGGCACAGATGTTCACACCCTCATCACGTTCACGCCCTGCAAGGCTATGGGCTGTACAGGGAGCAGAGGTGCCCCTGGAGCACGAGTATGGGGGCAAGGGAGGAAGGCAGCGGCCGGTGAGGTGAGAGCGATGGAATGGAGCGCGGAGGGAGGAAGAGCGCAGCGAGGACACCACGAGAGTAGAGGTGGTGTGGAGTTAAGGAGGGATGTGCGGAGATGGGGTACCATAGCAGCAGATGGGGTACCATGGCAGCAGATGGCAGCAGATTGGCAGCAGATGGCAGCAGATGAGCAGGCAGATGGCATGGAGGCAGATGGCATGGCAGCAAATGGGGGTGAGAGGGTACCATAAGAGCAGTTGGGGTTGGCGGGGCGGTGGAGCGCGGTGAGGTTCTGCGCCAGCGCCCTGAAGGTGTAGTTCATGGCACGGTCGCGCGTGTCTGGTGGGAGGGGGGATAGGGTTGGACGGGTTGAGAGGGGGTGGAATGACAGACAAAGGTGGAGAGGGGGAGAGCGCACCTCTCTTGGCCAGTGAGCGAAGAAGCATGAGTCATCCACGTCCATGGCAGCACCCTTGCACGGGGGGACGTTAGTGCGCGTGCACGTTACTCCCTGCTGGAATCACACCTGGCGTCACTGCTGGAATCACACCTGGCGTCACTGCTGGAATCACACCTGGCGTCACTGCTGGAATCACACCTGGCGTCACTGCTGGAATCACACCTGGCGTCACTGCTGGAATCACACCTGGCGTCACTGCTGGAATCACACCTCCTTGAATCACACCTCCTTCTGGAATCACATTCTCCACACCTGGTCTTCACACAAACAGGTTTTGAACAAAGATTCACACCAGCAACTCACACTTGGAACCACTTTTAATAGCACACCTAGAGGTTGTAGTGGGCGTACCAAAGAAAAATCCTGAGTCAACGAGGCAGCGGGTCGAGGCGGCAGGGAAGGATGCCGCCAGCCAATCACAGAGGTTCACTGTTGCCTGCCCGCCCGCTGAACTGCCCGAAAGCAGAATTTGCGAGGCTGAGCGAATGCCACGATTCTGCTGTAAGTCTGGAGGGGAGGGAGCGGTCAGATGTGAGACGAGGGGATGGCAGAGGGAAAAGCAGGGCGGAGGGAAAAGCAGGGCAGAGGAAAAAGCAGGGCAGAGGAAAAATTGAGAGACGAGAGGGGCGAGATGGAGATGAGAAGAGGCAGGAGGGCAGTAGGTGACAGGATGAGGGCTGGACAGAAGAGGAGGACGGAGAGAGCAGAGAGACAAGAAATGCTGGAATGATGTTTTATGGACGATACTGTACCAACAACATGATATGCAATGAGGGCACGGAGAGCAGAATGGGGGGAAGGGGAGTGGGAGAGCACCTTGCATGATGGCGCGCATGATGTTCCACCCGTCCAGGTAGATAGGTGCTGTGGGCGCCACGCTTGAGTTCGTTGACTTGCTGATCTGGGATGAGCCCGTGGCGTTGCTCGAGTTCCCCGGGCCGGCGGCCGAAGTGAGGTTGAAGCGGCCCCTGGTGCCGGCGTACCCCCCCCCATCGCAGTAGATGAGCCGTACGAGGTTCCACGAGTACAGCGACGGGTTGAGGCTCGCGTCGGGAGACAGAATGCCGTCGAAGGCGGGCCTCAGCTGCGCGCCCTGCGGCAAGGGGTGGGGGAACGGGTGGGCGGAGGGGAGAGGGCGAACGGTTGAAGAGCGTGGCGGGGAGAGCGAGGGAGGGGGGTGGATGGGCGTGGGCGCGTTCCAGTGGCGCAGCGGCGGCTTGATTGGCGCATTCAGAGCGCGCACAGCGCCCTCAGCTGCGCGCCGTGCAGCGGGGCGAGGCGGGGAAGGCGGGGGATGAGAGCAGAGGAGGGTGAGGGAGGGGCGTGGATGGGCTTCAGCAGACTGCAGGTGCGCAAGGAGGGGGGCGGATGTGCGGTGCAGGAGAGCAGGCCGTCCAGGGCCCGCCTCGCCTGCGCGCGCTGCAGCGGGCAACGTGGGGGAGGATGGGGATGACACGGCAGGGCAGGGTGGGTGGGGAGGGGGGCAAGGAGTGGCAGCCGATTGCGGTGCAGCTGTGCCGGCAGGGGCGAAGCGGCTTGCGTAGGACGGACAGGCTGTGGACAAAGGCACGCATCAGGTGAGCGCCCTGCAACAGGGAGCGGCGGGGGCACGGGCGGGGGGAGTGTGAGGGTGGAAGGCAGAGGGGGATGCGGGGGGGGTAATGAGTGCGACGGGGCTCCCCATGGGCCACAGGAGGCTGGGGTGCCAGGTGTCATCTGAACGGAGGAGGTTGGGGTGCCAGGTGTCATCTACACCAGGCTGTATCTGAGAGCCTTGGACCGGGGCAGGCAGAGGGAGAGGAAGGATCGGCTGGGGATGGGGGCGAGTACTGCGTGTGGCCATTCCCACACGTGCATGGGGCGACGCCGTGGCGGCGGTGGGGATGGGGGGCATGCATGCGGTATGCCCCATGATTGGGCTTCCACACGGGTCACCCGCGACGGGGCCAAGGGGCGGGATCAGCCTGCTTTAACACCGGGAGGGAAGAATGGATACGGCAGTGAGGCGAGAAGGGAAGATAGGGAGAGGGGAGGGAGGGAAAAGGGAGAGAACTGGGTGGGTAGAGGTGGAGAGGGAAAGAAGAAGGGGGGGGGAGGGGGGAGGAGAAGGGAAGGTGGAGCGATGGCGCGGGGGGAAGGGGAGACTATGGGGAGAGCAGCCCAAGGTGCAGCAAGCAGAGTGCATGCGCTGGGAGGGGGGGAGCCAGAAGGAGAGATCCGCCTCTTGAAGCTGCCAGGGTTAGTGGTAGCAAGCCAATGAGCTGACCCCAGAATGACAGTGCGTCTCACATAGTGCGCGGGGTTGGAGGGGAAGCCCTTGGTGGAGCCCAGGCGCGTTTTGGCCCTGGCGGCGCAGTCGGCAGGCGTGACGCACCACGCGCCCCCGGGCAGGAAGATGTGCCAGCTCAGCCGGCCCGCCCCCGTGCCCGGGCGGAAGTAGTAGCCGGGGGGACTGGGGGGCACGGAATGTGGGATGATGGGAGGAAGGGAGGGAGAGCGGGTTGCGGAATGGTGGGCGGGAATATGACGTGCCGGCTGGGGCCACCACACCCGTGCCCGGGCGGAAATAGTGCCCGGCGAGCGGAGGGGAGGAAAGGGGAGGGGTGGGGTTGGAGTGAGAGAGGTTTTGGGTCTGGTAGCTGAGCCGGCCCCCTGTGCCTGGGCGGAGCTGGTGGGGCGAGGGAGGCAGGGCGGGGAAGAGGAAGGGGAAGGGGAGGTGCTGGGCTGGCTGGTGGGGGGTTGGGATTTGGGGACAGCAGAAGGCGGCGGCCGCTGGTTGTGCCTGCTGAGGCGACCTGCTGCTCCGCTGGCCCACGGAAGGGAGCTCTGGGGCCTTGGCGGGGCAGACGGAAGGGAATTGGCGGGGCAGACGGAAGGGAGGAAGGGAAGGGATGAGAGAGGAGTGGTGGGTGGAGGCATGTGAGCCGCATCAAGCACCTCCCGGCGGTACGAGTGGCCTTAGAGGCGCCGTCAACTCGTGCTGGGGCGGAACTGGTGGTGGGGGATGCGCTGTCCGTGGACTACGGAGAGGGGCAGGAGCGGGCAGGGGGTGGAACATATGCGAGTTTGAGAGCATCCCCTGGCAGGTAGTTGCGCCGGTCGAGGACGGCGGTAGTCTGTGCCTAGGCAGAAGCCGTACCCGGGCGAGCTTGGGAGGAGATGTACCTGGAGGGCAAGGGGCACGGGGCATAAGCCTTTGAGACGTGCCGGTCCAATCGACCTGCTGGTGTGTCCAGAGCGGAAGCGGAGTTGTGGATAACTGGAGGATGGGAGAGAGGGGCAATGCGAAGCTGGGGTGAGGACGCCTAGTCTGTCGCTCAGCCTTGAGCAATCCTACTCTCACTTCCTACTCCCGGGGATTCAGATTTCAGGGGAGCATTGAGGCGCCTGCCGCGTCAGTCTGGGAGGCTATTGTTAGTCTGGGGGGTGTGTCGAGGCATTTTGCGCTGTACCTGCCGTCGAGGCATTTTGCGCCGAGCGTGTTGTTCGGCAGCAGGACGAGCGTGGCGTTGGGCGTACGCGCGGCCTGCGTCTTCCGCAGCTCCCTGCGCCGCACAGCAGTGGCAGTGGCAGTGGCAGTTGCGGAGGACACGAGAAGCGCGAAGAGCAGAGCTGCAAGAGGGACGACTGGGCGCGACCATCGCGCGCACATGGTTGCGGACAGAGGAGCTCTTGGGGCACACCTACGAAAGTTGGCAGTCAGTCGTGCTAGGAAAAACGCCGCCTTGCTCGGCCAAGCGCCGCCGCGCATCAAAGAATTTTGCGGAACGACTGAGCAAAGAAGTGGCTAAGCCCGGAAGAACAGGTCGAGGCTTGAGCGCTCGATACGAGAGACCTTACAGGTCTTCTGGAATCCACGGAATTCGAAAGGATAAGGCGGGGTGCACTCGTCGTCACTCAGAACCAGCGGCTGGTGAATTCGTGGCATAGACCACAGTGGTCTCTGCTTCTGGCTGAGGATGGTCGGCATAAGGCAAGTGCTGATGTCCCGTGGATGGAATGGGGGCAAATAATGGCTGTCGTAAGGAGGGCGCTGCGTGGTACGAGTGGTTTCAAAACGGTGAGGTCAAATTCCAAATGTCGGGAATCCACTCAGCATTGCACGTCTCACGCGCGGCTCGGATGGTTTCCAGCTAGCGCGATGGGAATGGGGAAGCATGGCATGTCCCGTCGATCTCCTCGCCATGTGGCAGAGATATGCACATGCTGTCGGGGATGTGGAGGGGCTAACAAATCAGCATCGTCACCGACAAATGCGACATCTGACACGGTGAACTCCAGTGGAGCGAACCAATACACCGAAGTCCACTACAAAAATTATCATAAATTCTTAGTTTTATTCATGGTCCGAGGCGAAATGGCTTCCGGGCGAAATGGGTAACGGGCGCAATGGGTTCCGGGCGAAAAGGGTAACGGGGGCATAATGGGTTCGGGGTGCCTGGGCGATCTGCACCTGCACCTGCGCCTGGGATTGTTGGGATGCATCCCCGTTATAGGCAGACTTCTCACGTCCATAGAGGTACTGGCTGAGGTCCCCCTGGTGCACGTATTCGTACACGGCGATCTGCTCCTGCACCTGCACCATCCTTTCAAGGGATTGGTGGGATGCATCCCTGTTATAGGCAGACTTCTCACCTTCATTGGCCGAGGTACGAGTGCCGAGCCTACTGTTACGCGCTGTTCGCGTGTACTCGCTGAAGCGAGCTCCGGTAAGGAACCCTGAAATACACGATGAGTGGTTATATACTGTAACGAATATGTATCATGTTGACTCGCTTCCACCAGAGCTGGGTGAGATATGATTCGCATTGATCCCACGGCCGGCGGGAGCTGCTGGTGGATGGACCTTGTTTGTTGTCACATTCGTCGTCACATCGACTGGCAGTTTGCTCGTCTTGTCGTCGTCAGATGTGTAATGGACAGCTTGGCATGGCCGAAAGCGATGCCACGTTGAGTACTTTTGGGTGGATCCGAGGTGCGGGGACAACCTGGAACTTCAGGAGGACCAGCCAAACGGGCAATCACACCAAAGTTTTGTGTCAGCCTACCCGCCAAGGGAAGTTGAAGGGCAAAAAAAGCCTTGTTGGCACAATCACGTCGCCCACGTTGTCACATCACGTGCCGCTAACAGGGCACACGTTAACAAAGTATTTACCCTGACTTAATTGAAACTCCAAGGTTATTGTGTTGAGACCGTATTTGTGTTTCCCAGTGCTTTGTTCAAGCTAGCTCTGAGAGAAACAGGGGGATTTATCTACTGACCCGCAGTAGTCCGGGGAGGTTTTGAGGGGGCCCGGACATCTAGTTAGCCTCCAGGAGGTGTAGGAATCTGTCAAACTTCCCGTTCTTCCCTTTCACCCTAGCCCAAGTCTGCTCTTCCCATTTTTCCTTAGTTTAGCGGTTGGTTTTAAAATGAGCTGCCGGGAACAATTGTTCAGGCCACTCAAACTCGCCCCATCCATCCCACCAAACCCCCTTTCTTCCCAGCCCCTTGGCCTAATTATAGCACCTTCACATGCGTGATTCATCTGCAGCATAGGTGCTGGTGCGGGTTTCTCACCCCGAAGTCGCCCACTGGCACCCTCACTATCTTGTCCAGCAAAGATGGGTTATAACCTATTCGGCCTTTTTAGCACAGACCCTGAAGATTCAGGGTAAATTTCTTACGAAGTCTGATTTTGCAGGGCGAGTTTCGAGGGGCCTGGATCGTCCGAGATGGGCGAAAAAACTAGCGAGAGCCCTGGCCGCAAAGCTTGCTGCGCTGGCGACTGCCCTGGAAGGGGAGCCAACTGGTAGTCGCGCGGTAGGCCGTGGAACTTGCATTTCAGCCTTTTTTTAGAGTGGCTGCCCCTGTCTTGGCGGAGCCAACTGGTTGAGCTGATGACTCGGTCGGACCGTCCATCCAGAACCAGGCGGACCGCGCTGAAGGGGGAGAGAATCTCCTCAGGCGCGCCGCAGGGCAATCAGCGCAGAGCACTACCTGGTATGGCTCGGGAGAAACCAAACCGCATGCCGAGCCATCAGCTGTCTTGCCCCCAGCTTCGGCCTAGGCTCGGCGAAGGTTTCTCTTCTCGCTGTTGGGCGATGTCCATCGACAGTCGAGATGTCCAACATTGGATGGCAGAATCGATGGACGACCACAATGACGAGCATGAGATGGGACTCGATCAGGAAGACTTGAAGAATCCATTGACCTTAGCTACCAAGACAGCAGGCTTAGTGTCAGAGCGAAGATGCGGTGCGATCAAGCCTCCAGGTCGGCTGCTGTTACTTTTCGCGGCCACGATGCGAACATGACCCACCCGCCAGCACGGCGGGCCGACGGTAGCAGACAGGTTAGAGCGATCCTCGCCACTGATTAGACGCGCACCATCAACTCACAGGGAAGCGGGCAACGGCGCGGCGCGATGGGCGATTACGATTGGATTCGGCGAATCCCCGAGTGCCCCGTGTACTACCCAACAGAGGAGGAGTTCCGCGATCCGCTCGCGTTCATCGAGAAGATTCGCCCCGAGGCGTCGCTGCACGGTAGGCGTCGCAGGTCGCATGGTAAGAATCCGGCGTGTGGCGGCTCTTCCGAGCTGGCACGGGTCACAGGAGCAGTTCGCGGCTGTTGTCGACCATGTCGAGCTCGAGAGCGCGAGCGAGCGAGTCGCGGTTGGAAGAGGTCGCGCGAGCGACCTCGAGTCGGGAAGTTTGATCGTCTCGCTTCATAGAATAGGCGTGGATGGCGCGGCTCGACCCAGCGATGGATGTGAAGCGCGCACCGCCGAGGGCATTTGGGACACAGTAGGGGGGACGCGCCTTCTAAAGGCGAAATATGCGACGTCGCTGCATACTAGTGGCTGCAGCAGTCTGTAGAGCATGGCTACTGCACTAGCTACTTCGTAGCTACTTTGTACCGACTGCGTTGCGCTGGTCCGCCAGTAGGGGATCCCCCGCTCTGACTCCCCCCCACAACGCGCGCCTCTTTTCCCCGCCGCTCCTCCGTCCGCCGCGGCAGCACCTCGCCCTCGTCGCCCTCCTTCCCTCCCATTCTCCGCTGCTTATTTCCGCCCCTTTCGCCGCTCCGTCGTTCACGTCGCCCCATCGCGCCGTCGCGCTCTCTCCTCGCCGACTTGCCGCCTCTCATCTCGTCGCTCGCGCTTCTGCCTCCGCGACCCACTGTGTGCCTCTCCCCGTCGCCCGTCCCTTCACAGCCTCTCCAGCCCACCTCCTCTCCCTCTCGCCTCCCCGGTGCGTCTCGCTTCTCGCCCGTGCGCCTTGTTCCGTTGTCGCCTTCCCGCTTCTCGTCATCGCATCTCCCGCCTCTACGCCTTCACCCCGTTCTGCCTCTTCCCCGCCACCCTGCGCCCTCCCCGTACCATCTCTCCCCATTCGACCTTTCCCACTTCGCCCCCGCCTGCTTCCCCTCTTTCCGCTTCTCCCGTTTCCGCTTCTCCCCCGTACGCTTCTCCGCCTTCCGCCGTGTGCCGTCAGAGCGGGTTGTCCATCGCCATGCGCCCACCACCTTCCTCGCCTCTCCCCCTCCCACCGCCTCTCCCCCTCCCACCGCCTCTCCCCCTCCCACCGCCTCTTCCCTCCCTCCGCCTCTCTCCGCCACTCTCCTTGCGCATCCCCTCTGGCTCCCCCTTCCACCCCTTCTCCCCCCCTCCCCCCCCCACATCCTCTCAGTCATCTTAGGCGCCAGCCACTTCCATGCCCCAGGCCCTCTGCGTCCCCGCCTTCCCCCTCCCGCCTCGCCCCGTTGCCAGCCACGCATGCCACGTGCGCCCCCCGCCACCACGCGCCGAACAGCAGTGGGGCTGCTGAGTCATGAGTCATGCTGGCACGTGACCCACAGGCGCTCGCAGCTGCACAAAGGGATCAGCGCGACGCACGTGGAAGGGAACCCCAAGGTTCACCCGTGCAGGGGGACAAATCCTTGACGCCGATCGCAAGCCCTGCGTTAAACCAGAAGCGGAGCCCCTCACTCACCCTCCGCTCGCCACCGCTGGCTCCACCCGCCACCCACTGCCCCCCTGCAGGCATCTGCAAGATCGTGCCGCCCGTGCTGCCCGCCACCCCCGCGGGCCACGTGCTGCAGCGCGGGCAGAAGCCGCCCTTCCGCTTCACCACGCGCGAGCAGCCGCTGCGCATGGCGTCATGGCGCGACGGGGACGAGGCCACGTTCCGCATGAGCGGCAGGTGAGGCATGGGCGGCAGGTGAGGCATGGGCGGCAGGTGAGGCATGGGCGGCAGGTGAGGCATGGGCGGCAGGTGAGGGGAATGGGTGGCATGGCCGCATGGGGAGGTGATATCAATTGGATGAGTGGGAGTAACGCGGAGGGAGGGGGGGAGGTGAATGAGAGGGATAGAAGTGGTCGATCGATGGTGGGGAGAATGAGAGATGGAAGGAGGAGTGAAGGGAGGGAGGGCGCCCAGCCCAGCCCAGCACGGCACGTCATGAGCCCGCGCTACCCTTTCGTTTGCCCCCTTGCCCCCCCAATCCATGCGTCACGCTCCCCAGCGCGTCGTGGCTCATCCTTTCCCCTGCCCTCCCATGTCTCTCTCCCCCTTCTTTTTCTCCACCTCCTCCCCCCCCCCAACCCGAAATCCTTAACCCTCTCTCCCCCTCCCCCATCCCCCCCCTGCATCAGAACGTACTCGCTTCCAGAGTTCGAGCGCAAGGCCGATCGCTTCCTGGCCACACGATTCGCCACGTCAGCAGCGCTGCCAGCTGGCATGGTGGAGCAGTTGTTCTGGCAGGAGATGGAGGGGCGCGGCAGGGAGGGGGGCGTGCAGGCGGAGAGGGGGAAGGGCGGAGGGCGAGGGGGCGAGGGGGCTGGTGTTGGGGGGGGAGCGGGGCGGGGAGCGCGGGGGGTGGCGCACGTGGAGTACGGCAGCGACGTGGACGGGTCGGGCTTCAGCGCCGACCCCGCTGACCCGCTCGCCTCGTCCCCCTGGAACCTCAAGGTGGGCCGTGCGCTGCCGTGCCGTGCCGTGCACGCACCACACACGCGCTCCACCATGTGATGCTCCCCATGTGATGCTCTCAACGGGTCGGCCATGTGGAAGCGCATGCAGCGCCCTCCCTCCTGCACTCGCTCGTCCCCCGCTTCTCCTTGGCTCGCCCGCCTCAACCATCGCCCTTCACCCCCCTCTCCCTCTCCCACCCCCCACCAGGTCCTCCCCCGCCTGCCTGCCTCCGTGCTGCGCCAGCTGGTCGTCGACATTCCGGTCAGTGGCCTCTCCCCCGCCCTCCCACCAGCCCCTCCTCCCCCACACCTGCGGCCTGCTGCCAACAGCATGCACCCACGCTGCGCCCACCCTTCCCTCCATCGCTGCATTCTCTCTCTCCATTACCCTCCCCTAATTCCTTCTAACCAACCCCACCCCTCCCCGCTCCCCCCTCTCACACTTTTAACAACCCCTCACACCGCCACACCTCACACCGCCACCCCTCACTCCGCCACCCCTCACACCGCCACCCCCCTCCCCCCCCCCCTGGCCCCCCTCTTCCTCCCTCCCCTCTTTTCCTGCATCCTCCTCCATCCACGTCTCTCCACACCCCTGGCTCTCCCCCCAACCCAGGGCGTGACGGACCCCATGCTGTACATCGGCATGCTCTTCAGCACCTTCGCCTGGCACGTCGAGGACCACTACCTCTACAGGTGCGCATGGCATGGCATGGCACTGCATGGCATGGCAGGGCATGCCATGGTATTTCACGGCATGCATGCAGTGCCACAGAGAGTGCAATGGGCCATGCATGCCCATGTGAGCTCCAATCAACTGCAAACACGTGCACTGAAGTCGAGCTCTTGTCTTACCTCTCTCGTCCCATAGCATCTCGTCCCATCCGATTCATTCTCCGTCACGTGTTGGCCATCCTCTCCTCTCTTCGCCCTCTCCCACCGTGGCCCATCCCTGTCCCACCGTGGCCCATCCCTCTCCCACCGTGGCCCATCCCTCTCCCACTGTCTTCTGCCGCTCACTGTCTTCTGCCGCTCACTGTCTTCTGCCGCTCACTGTCTTCTGCTGCTCACTGTATTCTGCCGCTCACTGTATTCTGCCACTCACTGTATTCTGCCGCTCACTGTATTCTGCCGCTCACTGGATTCTGCCGCTGACTGTATTCTGCCGCTCACTGGATTCTGCCGCTCACTGGATTCTGCCGCTCCCTGGATTCTGCCGCTCCCTGGATTCTGCCGCTCCCTGGATTCTGCGGCTCCCTGGATTCTGCCGCTCCACTTTCTCACCCCCCCCTCTCCTTGCGTCTTCACCCTTCTGCATCACCACCCTCCCCCGCCCTTCCTCCCCCCCCCCAGCATCAACTACCACCACATGGGCGCACCCAAGACGTGGTACGGTGTGCCGGGCTTTGCGGCGCACGCCTTTGAGGCCGTGGCCCGCCACCATGTGTACGGCCAGGGGGGCGCGGCGGAGCACGCGGACCAAGCGCAGAGGGGCGCACTGACAGCAGGGGCAGCGGGCAAAGCGATGGAGGAGGGCGAGAGGGGAGAGGTGAGGGGAGAGACGGAGGGGGGCAGGGCGGGCGGGGAGGGCGTGGCACATGGGAGAAGCGCGCCTCCGCAGCCTGGGGGCGCGTGGGAGCTCAGGGGCGGTGGCAGCGACCCCAGGGACGGCTGCAGGGACCAGGAGGAACGGACGCCTGGAGGACGGGGGGGGTTGGGGCGGAGGAGGGGAGGGAGAGGAGGGCGGGGACGGGGTGGAAGGGGCACTGATGCCGCTGCTGCTCTTGGCGCTGGCGGTAGTGGTAGCACTGGGCAGGACAGTCTGGCCCCTTTGACTGCCTTGCCCTGCCAGCAGGGGCGGAGTGGCGGGGGCGCGGTGGGGCGGGCGTGCGCGGTGCTGCTGGGCAAGACCACCATGTTCTCGCCGTGCCTGCTGCTGGCGCACGGCGTGCCCGTGGTGCGCGCCGTGCAGGCCGCCGGGGAGTTCGTGGTCACGTACCCGCGCTCGTACCACGCAGGGTTCAGCCACGGTGAGAGGGTTCAGCCACGGTGAGAGGGTTCAGCCACGTTGAGAGGGTTCAGCCACGGTGAGAGGGTTCAGCCACGGTGAGAGGGTTCAGCCACAGTGAGAGGGTTCAGCCACGGTGAGAGGGTTCAGCCACGGTGAGAGGGTTCAGCCACGGTGAGAGGGTTCAGCCACGGTGAGAGGGTTCAGCCACGGTGAGAGGGTTCAGCCACGGTGAGAGGGTGGGCGCTGAGTGCACATGGTGAGTGGTAGGTGGGATGGCGGGGTCATCCTCCCCAGCAAGACAACAGAATCCTATTCCACTCCACCCCAGCCATTCCGCCCCAAGCTGTTTCGCCCGCCCTGCATCTGCCTGTGGTAGGGCTGGTTACCATGCGCATGCCCACACACGTGCTTGCATGCATGCTCACATGCCCACACACATGCTTGCATGCATGCTCACATGCCCACACACATGCTTGCATACATGCTCACATGCCAACACACATGCTTGCATGCATGCTCACATGCCCACACACATGCTTGCATGCATGCTCACATGCCCACACACATGCTTGCATGCATACTCACATGCCCACACACATGCTTGCATGCATGCTCACATGCCCACACACATGCGTGCATGCATGCTCACATGCCCACACACATGCGTGCATGCATGCTCACATGCCCACACACATGCTTGCATGCATGCTCACATGCCCACACACATGCGTGCATGCATGCTCACATGCCCACACACATGCTTGCATGCATGCTCACATGCCCACACACACATGCTTGCACGCATGCTCACATGCCCACACACACATGCTTGCACGCATGCTGACATGCCCGCATGCGCACACAGTCATTTCCCACCGGCCTTCCTCACCACCCTCCCCCCAGCGACCAGTTTTTTGTGCCAACGGACCACTTGCCGCCTGCACCCATCCCGCTCCACCCGTACCGTGTGTCGTCTCCAACCGCCCCCGTTCCCATCCCCCCCGCCTCTCCCCCCTGCCCCTTCCCCCAGGCTTCAACTGCGGTGAGGCGGTCAACTTCGCGACCCCTGATTGGTTCCCCTTCGCCGCTGCCGCCGCCCGTCGCTACGCCGTGCTGCGGCGTGCGCCGCTGCTGTGCTGCGAGGAGCTGCTGTGTGCGCAGGTGGTCGCCATGCTGGGGGGGGCAGGGGGAGAGAGGGGAGGGCGAGGTGAGGCGGTTAAGAAACACGAGCAGGTGGACGAACACAGAAAGGCGCATAGGAGGGAGGCGGGTGGCAATGGGGCGAGGGCAGAGGAAACAGCGGGACGGAGGGAGGGAGAGGGCGGGCAGGGGGCAGGGAGAGGAGAGGGGGGAGATACGGCTGCACGGCATGCCGTGGCAGTTTACTCGCCGTGCAAAGAGAGCGGTCCAGGCCCTCCTGCTGACCCCACTGACCCCGTTGACCATGTTGGCTCTCCTGCAGCTGTGGCAGCAGCACTGCGTGGTAACGGTGTGAGCAGCGTGGGGTGCAGCGAGGGGATTGAATGCAAGGAGGAGCGCGGGGATGAAAAGCCCGTTGTACATAGTAACCCAGCTGACCCGACTGACCTGACTGACCCGCTTGACCCTATTGACCCCGCTGACTCGATTGACCTCTTGCCCGCCACGCTGTGCGCCATGGGGCGGGTGGGGCGGCGCACGCTGGAGGAGTTTGTGCGCGCGGTGAGCAGGGAGAGGGCCACACGCACGTGGATGGAGGCGAGGGGGGCGCAGGTGGCGGTGCTGCCGGCGCTGTCAGCGGCGGTGCCGTGCTCGCTGTGCTGCCGCCTGTGCCACCTGGCTGTGGTGGTGTGCTGCTGCGTGCGCGACCCCATCTGCCTGCACCATGGTGAGCTGAGACCTCATCTGCCTGCATCATGGTGAGCTGAGACCCCATCTGCTTGCACCATGGTGAGCTGAGACCCCATCTGCCTGCACCATGGTGAGCTGAGACCCCATCTGCCTGCACCCTGGTGAGCTGAGACCCCATCTGCCTGCACCATGGTGAGCTGAGACCCCATCTGCCTGCACTATGGTGAGCTGAGACCCCATCTGCCTGCACCATGGTGAGCTGAGATCCCATCTGCCCCCGCGTGACACCCCTTCTCCCCCCTGTACCTCTCTGTGCTCGTGCCTCGCCTCGCCCACCCCCTTGTCTCTCTCCATGCGTCTCGTCCCGGGCGAATCCCCTGCCATGCCACGCATTCCCCTTGGCCCCTGCCAAGCCACGCATTCCCCTTGGCCCCTGCCAAGCCACGCATTCCCCTTGGCCCCTGCCAAGCCACGCATTCCCCTTGGCCCCTGCCAAGCCACGCATTCCCCTTGGCCCCTGCCAAGCCACGCATTCCCCTTGGCCCCTGCCAAGCCACGCATTCCCCTTGGCCCCTGCCAAGCCACGCATTCCCCTTGGCCCCTGCCAAGCCACGCATTCCCCTTGGCCCCTGCCAAGCCACGCATTCCCCTTGGCCCCTGCCATGCCACGCATTCCCCTTGGCCCCTGCCAAGCCACGCATTCCCCTTGGCCCCTGCCAAGCCACGCATTCCCCTTGGCCCCTGCCATGCCACGCATTCCCCTTGGCGCCTCTGTCTCCCAGGGTGCCGCATTCATTGCCCTCAATCCGTCGGTCATGTCTCTCACTCCCTAGTCGTCCGCTCCGCACCCCCGCTTTCCCCATCTCTCCCTCTTCTCCTTCCCCCCTCGCGCCCTCCTTCTCACCCCCCCCTCCCCCCCCATCCCACCGGCACAGCTGCCATCAACCGCGCATGTCCCTGCGGTCCTCTGCGCGTCGTCTCGCTGCGGCGCCACACGCCCCGCCTTGAGCGCCTGGCACTGCGGGTCAAGGATGCTCTTAACTGCTGGCACCAGGCCGAGGCCACCCAAGGCGCGCTCGCACCACAGCAGCAGCAGCAGCAGCTCCTGCCTCTTGAGTGGACCAGGGAGTTGGTTGGCAATGCCGCGCAGTCGGCATTGAAGTCACTTGCCTGCGCGCCCACACTCACTCTCACGCATCAGCAGCAGCCCGCCAGAAATGCTTTCCCGGACCAAGCACAGACTCGGGAAGAGGTCCGCACGGAAGTTGGGACGAAGGTTCGGATGCTAGTGGCAAGTGACGTTCGGGGGGAAGCGGGGAAGCAAGTGGTGGCACAGGGGGCGAAGGGAGCAGGAGCTCGTTTTGAGGCGCCTGGGAACGGGCCGGGAGCAGCAGCAGTAGTGCTGGCAGCGCTGGCAGCAGCTGCACCAGAGGGGTGGGATGAGGAGGTTGCTGATATCGAGTCACTCACCAACGATCACGACCTGGAGGGGTATGGAGAGGAGGCAGATGGCGAGAAGTGCATGGCATGGCATGTGAAGGGACGGGCAGCGAGGGCGGATGGTGGAGGCAGTGGGGGGGATGGGGAGGGAAGAGGCGGGGGAGGGAGGAGTGGGGAACGGGAGGAAGGGGGAGGAGGAGAAAGAGAGCTTGTTGTGGGAGGGGTGGGTGCAGTGGTTGAGAGCGGTGAGGAGGAGTGCAGAGATGGGCGGCATTGTGGTGGTGGCGGTGGGTGTGGAGGCAGCGATGATGAGGCGACGCCAAGCCATGCTGTGGCACGTGCTCATCCCACCGCCCTGTGTGGCCAAGCCGGCTGTGACGGTGGAAAGTGTGACAAGTACGGACTTGACTATGCTGAATCAGGTTGCGTTTCCTTATTGGCACCCACGCAGACTGAGGCCAAGCAGGCACAGCAGCAGCTGGCGGCACTAGAGACGGAGAGCAGGAGGCAGTGTGAGCATGCAGCAGAGGTGCTTAGAGCGGAGCAGCGGGTGCATGCAGGGGAGGGGCAGACGGTACTGACGAGAGGCACGGCAAGAGCCGTGGCAGCATGGCAAGTGACGGAGCGATCGATGCGAGTTGCAGGGGAAACACAGGTGCGTGCAGCGGAGCGTGTTCACACGGCAGCCGTGGTATCAGAGCGTCGTGGGGCGGAGGACGAGAAAGAGCATGCAGAGCACGACGACCTGGAGGCGCATGGCGGGGGGGAGGTTGCGCGGGTGCACAGGCGCACTCCTGCATGCGGTGCGCCGTGTGGCGCTGCACTCGGCTGGCCGCACTGCGGGCTGGAGGGCGCGCGCTCAGAGCTGCACCCCACCAGAGCGCACAGCTCGGCCACCGGCAGCCGTATGACGGCGCTGGATGTGCTTCTAGTGAAAAGGCATGGGCCGTGCGCTCACGAGAGCGGCGGGGCAGCGAGCGCCTTCCCTGTGCGGGCCGTGGGCGCGTGGGAGGGGCGGTGTATGGCAGGCGGTGCGGCGCCTGAGGTGGTGCGGGCAGGTGCAGGAGGCGCGGGGGTGGGTGGTGCAGGGGCGGTGGGCGGTGGGGGGGCGCAGCACAGGCAGCACGAGGGATTGGGGGAGAAGGAAGAGGAGCAGCGGATGTGGGGGGGAAGAAGGGAGCGGAGGAGCAGGGTGGGGAGGAGGAAGGAGAGATGCCGCGGCAGCAGGAGAGGAGGTGGGAAAAGGGCGAGGAGTGGGAGGGGGCGGAGCAGGTAGAGGAAGGCCCGCGGGAGCAGCAGGAGGGGGAGCAGCAGGAGGGGGAGGAGCGGGTGGTGGTAGAGGAGGCGGCACGTGGGAGGGAGGAGTGTGGGGAAGCTGGTGCGGTGTACGAGGGGATGCTGTTCTGCGCCACGCATGCACTGGGTCATGTGCAGTGCTGTGAGGGCGAGCAGTGGGGCGAGGGAGAGCAGTGGGGCGAGGGACGGATGGGTGGAAAGCAGAGGTGCAGGAGAGGAGTGGACGAGGAGGAGGGCGGCAGAGGTGTGGGAGAGGCGTGCCTCGGAAAGGGGTGTGGCCGGGATGTGGCGACCGGGCAGGCTGAGGCAGAGGTGGGGGCTGTGGCGGGGGGGACGGCGGAGTTGAGAGAGAATGGAGATGAGATGGTGACGTCAGCAAGAAGGCGACTGGAGAGAGATCTGGAGAGGTGTGGGGAGGAGGGCGGGATGAGGGGAGGGGCGGGAGGAGAAGGGAGTGGGGGGACCTGGGAGGAGGAGGCGAAGCGGGCGCAGGAAGGAGCGGAGAGTGAGAGTGGGCGAGGGGAGGGTGAAGCGGCAGCAGGAGCAGGCAGGGAGGGAATAGAAGGTGCCCCTGGGGCAAGCGAGGGTGGGTGTGGTGGAGATGGGGTGGGAGGCGCTGGCAGATGCAGCGAGGCGAGCAGCGAGGGGGGGGGCGCGGCAGATGAGAGTGCGAGTCATGGTTGTGAGACCGATGGCTGTGCTGCACGGCTTGTGCATGCAGCAGCAGCAGTGAGAGCGGGAGCAGCAGTGAGAGCGGGAGCAGCAGGCAGCATCAGCAAGACCTGTTACACAGGCACTGCGAATCTGCATGGAGAAGCTTTGAGACAGGCGACTCCTCATGCTCATGCTGATGCTGATGCTGATGCTGGTGTTGATGCTGGTGTTGTTGCTGTTGGTGGTGGTGCCGCTGACGCTGATGCTGATGCTTCTGTTGATGCGGCTCCTGCTAACACTTATGCTGATGCTGCTCTTGGTGTTGCTGCTCATACCGATGCTTATGCTTGCGCTGCTAGTGATGCTGATGGTGCTGTTGCTGCTGCCGATGCTACTGATGCTGATGCTTATGCTAATGCTGCTGCCGCTGCTGGTGATGCTGGTGCTGCTGATGCTGATGCTAATGCCGATGCCGCTCCCACTGCTGGTGATGCTGATGCGGATGCTGCTGTTGATATCGATACTGCTGCTGCCGAAGCTACTGACTCTGATGATGCTGCTGCTGCTATAGCTGATGCTGCTGATGCTGATGATGATGATGATGCTGCTGATGCTGCAGCTGATGGTGATGCGGCTGATGCTGGTGCCGCTGCGAGTGATATTTCCTATGCTACTCAGGCATCTGCTGGTACTGTGGATGCTGCTGATGCTCATGCCGATGCTGTTGTTGTTGCTGCTGCTGCTATAGCTGATGCTGCTGCCGCCGCTGCTGCTTCTGCTGCGGATGCCTTTGCTGATGCTAATGGTGATACCGGTAGCGTTTATTCGGATGGTGATGCGGGTGCTGAGAATGGCAGTGCCTATGCGGATGGGCCGTTGGGCAGCTTTGCAGCACCACAGGCACAGGCACAGCTAGGCTCAGCAGGAAAGGCGTCAGAAAGGGTTTCAATGCAGCACGAGGGGCAGCAGCAGCAGCAGCAGCAGCGCAAGAGTGGGGCCAGTAGGCGGCGCAGGCGGAAGCTGTGGATGGTGTGGGATGGGGCGAGGAGGAGGAAGAAGGCGAGAGGGGCAGATGGGGAAAGAGGGGCGGCCAGCGCTGCTGCTTCTGCTGCCTTGGCTGATGGCCATGCTGACCATGCTCATGCTCATGCTCATGCTCATGCTCATGCTCATGCTGATGCTGCTGAGTCGGATGCTGAATCTGTTCCCAGTGCCAGCAGGCAGCACAGCACGGGTAGTGAGTGCGCATGGGTGTGGGAGAGCAAGGGGCGGAGGAGCAGGTGGGGAAGAGGAGAAGAAGAGCACTGGTTGAGGCGAGGGGAGCAGAGGAGGGTGGGCGTGGCAGCGAGGGCGGAGAAGAGGAAGGCGGAGGAGGAGACAAGGCTAGCGGTGGGCATGGTGGCAGCAGCGGCTGCAGCAGACGCAGTGAGTCCGGCGAAGAGGAGGCGGTTAGTGGAGGTGACAGGCGCTGGCAGCACTGCGAGGGGTGGGAAAGAGGGGAAGGGCGGTGGTGATGGGGAGATGGAGACGATGGGGATGCGGGGCATGGGCTCTCGAGAGCGGTCCACACAAGCAAGGGCAGTCGGTTCAGGGCCCGAGGGAGAAGAAAGCTCTGCGGTTCATGACGCGCTGAAAGGTGATGTCAGGAGAGGCCAGAGAGCGAGGGGAATGGGGCGGGATGGTTACAGTGCAGGGCGGGGAGACGTGGGAGATGAGGCAGGTGAGGGCGCATGGGAAGAGGGGCCGTGGGAGAAGGGCTTCTGGGTGAGGGTGGTGCGCCGAAGGAGGACGTGGCAATACCGACTGTCCAGCCCCGAGGCTGAGGATGGCAAAGCTAACGCTGATCGAGCTGGAACGGGGTGAGGAGACCACTGACGGCAGGGATCATGCCGTAAATACAGGTCCTCCCAACTTTCCAATTTCATTACCACGGATTAGGTTAGCCTAGGAATAGCTTAAAAGTGGTAGATGTGCATTAGTTGAGGTTTTCCGATTTATTTATGCTGACAGGGTATTGGGGCTGGCTACATCGGAAGCAAGCAGGCGCAAAAGAGTCATGATTGGCTTTTATCTCCGAGCCTCGTGGAGCCCGCAAGTCTGGACCACACGGTCGACCTCCCCCAACCAGACATCTCCGCTGCGGGAACTTTGGCCCTCTGCCGGGTAGCGGGCGCGCTGTTGCCATCGCGTGGAGCAGGTGACACAATCGAGGGCCGCTTGAGCCTAGAACTGCCCCTCCTCTCCAGAGCGTGTCGCAAGGGTTCAGTTTGTTGCGGTTAGGTAAGGTTCGTTGCGTTTCGTCTAACATCGAAAATGGCTGGGTGGGGTTTCTTTATGGAAAACAAATTCCCGCGTCAGCCTACTGGGCTTTGTTCGGCACGCACGGCTTTCTGGTGCAACCAGCTTCTTGCTGCTGCCGTGCCGAGCTCACTGCTGCCTGGGCTGTGCTGTGCGCTGCTGCCACTCCACGCCGACCTCGCGCTGGTCGCCACTCCGCTCCGCCCCGCACCGCAACAGCAACTCCTTCCGCCACCCGAGCCGGGCGTCAGCTTCCCGCGCGCGTGCCGGTGCGCCTTGGAGGCGCGCAGCTGCCGCAGAGGTCGCCGTCGATCCCCGTGACGCACGCCGCAAGCACCCGCGCGCCCTGGCCAGCGTCGTTTCCTCCACGCAAGTTCGATCGCGAGTCGCGCCGCGGTGTCTGAGATTCCCCGCGTGCTCGCTGCACCTCGATCCACTTCCGCGCGTCTCGCGCACCTGCTCGCGTCTGTTGATCGGCTGTCCGCTCCTCGCGCGCAGCTCTCCGCGCGCAGCTCTTGCGTTCCGATCTCGATCTCGGCCGAGAAGGCAGATGGGGGGAGGAGGCGGCAGTGGGGAGGTTGTGGTGGACGGGAAGCGGATGTACGTACCCGTTTATGGCATCCTTGCTAGCAGCGCCATGTCCGCTTGCTTCGCCGAGGTGAGATCTGCGACATCCTAAGCCCCCTTGGCCCGAGCGGTGGCCGTCCGTACTTGCGCCTTCGACTCCCGTGCCTCGCCTTCCACTCCTTCCCCGTGCCTCGCCTTCCGCTCCTTCCCCGTGCCTGTCACCGCGACCTAGTCGCCATGCCGACATGGCCGGCTCGCATCGCACTGCCCACGCCACTCGTTATTTTCTCCCTCGCCTCTCGCCATCACCTTTGCGCCGATCACTACGCACCCCCCCACTCCCACATTCCTCCCCCTTTCCCTCCCTCCAACCCCCCTTTCCCTCTTCCCCCCCCCCCCCCCCCCCCCGCCCCCAGTTCTGCACGCTGCCCATCGACACGGCCAAGGTGCGTCTGCAGCTGCAGGGCAAGGCGGCGGCGGGGGGCGGCGGCGCGGCGGCGAGCGCGGTGAAGTACCACGGCATGGTGGGGACGATGGGGACCATCGCGCGCGAGGAGGGGCTGTCGGCGCTGTGGAAGGGGCTCGTGCCGGGGCTGCACCGCCAGTGCATCTACGGTGGACTCAGGATCGGCCTCTACGACCCGGTGAGCCTCTACGACCCGGTGAGCCTCTACGACCCGGTGAGCCTCTACGACCCGGTGAGCCTCTACGACCCGGTGAGCCTCTATGACCCGGTGAGCCTCTACGACCCGGTGAGCCTCTACGACCCGGTGAGCCTCTATGACCCGGTGAGCCTCGGATCCGGTTTGGTGTTGCTGCAAGTCAGCGCTAAAGGGTGTGGGGGGCTGGAGTATGGCCGTTAGAGTGAGACTTATGAAGGCTCACACTCTTTATGGCAGTGGGAGAGTGCAGACCGTGTGTTGGTTTGTGAAGGGTTGGCCTGCATTGGCTCGGTGTTTCCCTGTTCCTCACATGGCGATGTGTGCCCCGTGTGTGCCCCATGTGTGCCCCGTGTGTGCCCCGTGTGCGCCCCGCGTGTGCCCCTTGTGTGCCCTGCATGTGCCCCGTGTGTGCCCCGCGTGTGCTCCGCGTGTGCCCCGTGTGTGCCCCATGTGTGCCCCGTGTGTGCCTCGTGTGTGCCCCGTGCGCAGGTGAAGGCGCTCTTCGTGGGCAAGGACCATCAGGGTGACGTGCCGCTCACCACGAAGATCGCTGCCGCCCTCACCACAGGTGCCGTGCACTCACCACAGGTGCCGTGCCCTCACCACACGTGCTGTGCCCTCACCACAGGTGCCGTGCACTCACCACAGGTGCCGTGCACTCACCACAGGTGCCGTGCCCTCACCACAGGTGCCGTGCCCTCACCACAGGTGCCGTGCCCTCACCACAGGTGCCGTGCCCTCACCACAGGTGCGGTGCCCTCACCACAGGTGCTGTGCCCTCACCACAGGTGCCGTCCACTCACCACAGGTGCCGTGCCCTCACCACAGGTGCCGTGCCCTCACCACATGTGCCGTGCCCTCACCACAGGTGCTGTGCCCTCACCACAGGTGCCGTGCCCTCACCACAGGTGCCGTGCACTCACCACAGGTGCCTTGCCCTCACCACAGGTGCCGTGCCCTCACCACAGGTGCCGTGCCCTCACCACAGGTGCCGTGCCCTCACCACAGGTGCTGTGCCCTCACCACAGGTGCCGTGCACTCACCACAGGTGCCGTGCCCTCACCACAGGTGCCGTGCACTCACCACAGGTGCCGTGCCCTCACCACAGGTGCCGTGCCCTCACCACAGGTGCTGTGCACTCACCACAGGTGCCGTGCCCTCACCACATGTGCCGTGCCCTCACCACAGGTGCCGTGCCCTCACCACAGGTGCCGTGCCCTCACCACAGGTGCTGTGCCCTCACCACAGGTGCTGTGCCCTCACCACAGGTGCCGTGCCCTCACCACAGGTGCTGTGCCCTCACCACAGGTGCCGTGCACTCACCACAGGTGCCGTGCCCTCACCACAGGTGCCGTGCCCTCACCACAGGTGCTGTGCACTCACCACAGGTGCTGTGCACTCACCACTTGTGCCGTGCCCTCACCACAGGTGCCGTGCACTCACCACAGGTGCCGTGCCCTCACCACAGGTGCCGTGCACTCACCACAGGTGCCGTGCCCTCACCACAGGTGCTGTGCCCTCACCACAGGTGCCGTGCCCTCACCACTGGTGCCGTGCCCTCACCACAGGTGCCGTGCACTCACCACAGGTGCCGTGCCCTCACCACAGGTGCCGTGCACTCACCACAGGTGCCGTGCCCTCACCACAGGTGCCGTGCACTCACCACAGGTGCCGTGCCCTCACCACAATGCCGTGCCCTCACCACAGGTGCCGTACCCTCACCACATGTGCCGTGCCCTCACCACAGGTGCCGTGCACTCACCACAGGTGCCGTGCCCTCACCACAAGTGCCGTGCCCTCACCACAGGTGCTGTGCCCTCACCACAGGTGCCGTGCACTCACCACTCATCATCAGCATCCTCGCCCTCACTGCTCATCTGTGTACCCCCCAACCCCCCCTTCCCGTGCTCTCGATTTCGTCTCACAAGTGGTTGCTGGCACGCCACCTCGCGCCGCGCTCACCCCTCTGACCCCCCCCTCGGCCTTCCCCTGTCCCCCCTGCACGTGCCGTCAGGCGCGGTGGGCATAGCCATCGCCAACCCCACGGACCTGGTCAAGGTGCGCCTGCAGTCCGAGGGGCGTCTCCCGCCCGGCACGCCCAAGCGCTACTCGGGGGCGCTCAACGCGTATGCCACCATCGCCAGACAGGTGCGGTCAACGCGTATGCCACCATCGCCAGACAGGTGCGGTCAACGCGTATGCCACCATCGCCAGACAGGTGCGCTCAACGCGTATGCCACCATCGCCAGACAGGTGCGGTCAACGCGTATGCCACCATCGCTAGACAGGTGCGCTCAACGCGTATGCCACCATCGCCAGACAGGTGCGCTCAACGCGTATGCCACCATCGCCAGACAGGTGCGCTCAACGCGTATGCCACCATCGCCAGACAGGTGCGCTCAACGCGTATGCCACCATCGCCAGACAGGTGCGCTCAACGCGTATGCCACCATCGCCAGACAGGTGCGCTCAACGCGTATGCCACCATCGCCAGACAGGTGCGGTCAACGCGTATGCCACCATCGCCAGACAGGTGCGGTCAACGCGTATGCCACCATCGCCAGACAGGTGCGCTCAACGCGTATGCCACCATCGCCAGACAGGTGCGCTCAACGCGTATGCCACCATCGCCAGACAGGTGCGCTCAACGCGTATGCCACCATCGCCAGACAGGTGCGCTCAACGCGTATGCCACCATCGCCAGACAGGTGCGCTCAACGCGCATGCCACCATCGCCAGACAGGTGCGGTCAACGCGTATGCCACCATCGCCAGACAGGTGCGTCACGGTATGCCACCATCGCCAGACAGGTGCGCTCAACGCGTATGCCACCATCGCCAGACAGGTGCGTCAACGCGTATGCCACCATCGCAGACAGGTGCGCTCAACGCGTATGCCACCATCGCCAGACAGGTGCGCTCAACGCGTATGCCACCATCGCCAGACAGGTGCGCTCAACGCGTATGCCACCATCGCCAGACAGGTGCGCTCAACGCGTATGCCACCATCGCCAGACAGGTGCGCTCAACGCGTATGCCACCATCGCCAGACAGGTGCGTCAACGCGTATGCCACCATCGCCAGACAGGTGCGTCAACGCGTATGCCACCATCGCCAGACAGGTGCGCTCAACGCGTATGCCACCATCGCCAGACAGGTGCGCTCAACGCGTATGCCACCATCGCCAGACAGGTGCGCTCAACGCGTATGCCACCATCGCCAGACAGGTGCGCTCAACGCGTATGCCACCATCGCCAGACAGGTGCGTCAACGCGTATGCCACCATCGCCAGACAGGTGCGCTCAACGCGTATGCCACCATCGCCAGACAGGTGCGCTCAACGCGTATGCCACCATCGCCAGACAGGTGCGGTCAACGCGTATGCCACCATCGCCAGACAGGTGCGTCACGCGATGCCACCATCGCCAGACAGTGCGCTCAACGCGTATGCCACCATCGCCAGACAGGTGCGCTCAACGCGTATGCCACCATCGCCAGACAGGTGCGTCAACGCGTATGCCACCATCGCCAGACAGGTGCGCTCAACGCGTATGCCACCATCGCCAGACAGGTGCGCTCAACGCGTATGCCACCATCGCCAGACAGGTGCGCTCAACGCGTATGCCACCATCGCCAGACAGGTGCGCTCAACGCGTATGCCACCATCGCCAGACAGGTGCGCTCAACGCGTATGCCACCATCGCCAGACAGGTGCGTCAACGCGTATGCCACCATCGCCAGACAGGTGCGCTCAACGCGTATGCCACCATCGCCAGACAGGTGCGCTCAACGCGTATGCCACCATCGCCAGACAGGTGCGGTCAACGCGTATGCCACCATCGCCAGACAGGTGCGCTCAACGCGTATGCCACCATCGCCAGACAGGTGCGCTCAACGCGTATGCCACCATCGCCAGACAGGTGCGGTCAACGCGTATGCCCCCCCACCCCATGCCACCATCGCCAGACAGGTGCGTCAACGCGTATGCCACCATCGCCAGACAGGTGCGCTCAACGCGTATGCCACCATCGCCAGACAGGTGCGCTCAACGCGTATGCCACCATCGCCAGACAGGTGCGCTCAACGCGTATGCCACCATCGCCAGACAGGTGCGCTCAACGCGTATGCCACCATCGCCAGACAGGTGCGCTCAACGCGTATGCCACCATCGCCAGACAGGTGCGCTCAACGCGTATGCCACCATCGCCAGACAGGTGCGGTCAACGCGTATGCCACCATCGCCAGACAGGTGCGCTCAACGCGTATGCCACCATCGCCAGACAGGTGCGCTCAACGCGTATGCCACCATCGCCAGACAGGTGCGCTCGCGTATGCCACCATCGCCAGACAGGTGCGCTCAACGCGTATGCCACCATCGCCAGACAGGTGCGCTCAACGCGTATGCCACCATCGCCAGACAGGTGCGCTCAACGCGTATGCCACCATCGCCAGACAGGTGCGCTCAACGCGTATGCCACCATCGCCAGACAGGTGCGCTCAACGCGTATGCCACCATCGCCAGACAGGTGCGCTCAACGCGTATGCCACCATCGCCAGACAGGTGCGGTCAACGCGTATGCCACCTCGCCAGACAGGTGCGGTCAACCGATGCACCATCGCCAGACAGGTGCGGTCAACGCGTATGCCACCATCGCCAGACAGGTGCGTCAACGCGTATGCCACCATCGCCAGACAGGTGCGCTCAACGCGTATGCCACCATCGCCAGACAGGTGCGCTCAACGCGTATGCCACCATCGCCAGACAGGTGCGCTCAACGCGTATGCCACCATCGCCAGACAGGTGCGGTCAACGCGTATGCCACCATCGCCAGACAGGTGCGGTCAACGCGTATGCCACCATCGCCAGACAGGTGCGCTCAACGCGTATGCCACCATCGCCAGACAGTGCGCTCAACGCGTATGCCACCATCGCCAGACAGGTGCGCTCAACGCGTATGCCACCATCGCCAGACAGGTGCGCTCAACGCGTATGCCACCATCGCCAGACAGGTGCGCTCAACGCGTATGCCACCATCGCCAGACAGGTGCGGTCAACGCGTATGCCACCATCGCCAGACAGGTGCGCTCAACGCGTATGCCACCATCGCCAGACAGGTGCGCTCAACGCGTATGCCACCATCGCCAGACAGGTGCGCTCAACGCGTATGCCACCATCGCCAGACAGGTGCGCTCAACGCGTATGCCACCATCGCCAGACAGGTGCGCTCAACGCGTATGCCACCATCGCCAGACAGGTGCGCTCAACGCGTATGCCACCATCGCCAGACAGGTGCGGTCAACGCGTATGCCACCATCGCCAGACAGGTGCGCTCAACGCGTATGCCACCATCGCCAGACAGGTGCGCTCAACGCGTATGCCACCATCGCCAGACAGGTGCGGTCAACGCGTATGCCACCATCGCCAGACAGGTGCGCTCAACGCGTATGCCACCATCGCCAGACAGGTGCGCTCAACGCGTATGCCACCATCGCCAGACAGGTGCGTCAACGCGTATGCCACCATCGCCAGACAGGTGCGCTCAACGCGTATGCCACCATCGCCAGACAGTGCGCTCAAGCTTGGCGTATGCCACCATCGCCAGACAGTGCGCTCAACGCGTATGCCACCATCGCCAGACAGGTGCGCTCAACGCGTATGCCACCATCGCCAGACAGGTGCGCTCAACGCGTATGCCACCATCGCCAGACAGGTGCGCTCAACGCGTATGCCACCATCGCCAGACAGGTGCGCTCAACGCGTATGCCACCATCGCCAGACAGGTGCGCTCAACGCGTATGCCACCATCGCCAGACAGGTGCGGTCAACGCGTATGCCACCATCGCCAGACAGGTCCGCGGCTCAACGCGCGTATGCCACCATCGCCAGACAGGTGCGCTCAACGGCGTATGCCACCATCGCCAGACAGGTGCGCTCAACGCGTATGCCACCATCGCCAGACAGGTGCGCTCAACGCGTATGCCACCATCGCCAGACAGGTGCGCTCAACGCGTATGCCACCATCGCCAGACAGGTGCGCTCAACGCGTATGCCACCATCGCCAGACAGGTGCGCTCAACGCGTATGCCACCATCGCCAGACAGGTGCGCTCAACGCGTATGCCACCATCGCCAGACAGGTGCGCTCAACGCGTATGCCACCATCGCCAGACAGGTGCGCTCAACGCGTATGCCACCATCGCCAGACAGGTGCGCTCAACGCGTATGCCACCATCGCCAGACAGGGTGCGCTCAACGCGTATGCCACCATCGCCAGACAGGTGCGCTCAACGCGTATGCCACCATCGCCAGACAGGTGCGCTCAACGCGTTACTATGGCCACCATCGCCAGACAGGTGCGTCAACGCGTATGCCACCATCGCCAGACAGGTGCGGTCAACGCGTATGCCACCATCGCCAGACAGGTGCGCTCAACGCGTATGCCACCATCGCCAGACAGGTGCGCTCAACGCGTATGCCACCATCGCCAGACAGGTGCGCTCAACGCGTATGCCACCATCGCCAGACAGGTGCGCTCAACGCGTATGCCACCATCCCAGACAGTGCGCTCAACGCGTATGCCACCATCGCCAACAGGTGCGCTCAACGCGTATGCCACCATCGCCAGACAGGTGCGCTCAACGCGATGCCACCATCGCCAGACAGGTGCGCTCAACGCGTATGCCACCATCGCCCAGACCAGGTGCGCTCAACGCGTATGCCACCATCGCCAGACAGGTGCGCTCAACGCGTATGCCACCATCGCCAGACAGGTGCGCTCAACGCGTATGCCACCATCGCCAACAGGTGCGCCACGCGTATGCCACCATCGCCAGACAGGTGCGCTCAACGCGTATGCCACCATCGCCAGACAGGTGCGCTCAACGCGTATGCCACCATCGCCAGACAGGTGCGCTCAACGCGTATGCCACCATCGCCAGACAGGTGCGGTCAACGCGTATGCCACCATCGCCAGACAGGTGCGGTCAACGCGTATGCCACCATCGCCAGACAGGTGCGCTCAACGCGTATGGCCCAACCATCGCCAACAGGTGCGCTCAACGCGTATGCCACCATCGCCAGACAGGCGCTCAACGCGTATGCCACCATCGCCAGACAGGTGCGCTCAACGCGTATGCCACCATCGCCAGA